ACATTAACACTGCACTGAGAGACATATTAGTAGTAGGTTAATGTTCACTACAGCTTTTTCAGTTAATGTAATGGGGACAGTGCACAGCTCTGAACCTGCAGCGGTTTAGCTAAAAGCTCATTTACTGTACATTTGTAGTCCATGGAAAGGACCCAATTAACAATATACAAAACACTGGAATATATAAAAACATGAAGACATATTGTAAGAAAAATGTTAAAAAAGATATTACAAATTGTAAAGTGCACAAAAATGACACGTTAAATTAATAGATTTAAAGAGTCACAATAGACAACACTTATCAAGACCAATGTCATGGTGTTAGTCATTAAAAGAGACATCAGAAGACTGATTTGCTTTAAGCCGTGAGTTCACTTCAGTTTTAAATGGTATAAAATGAGACGACTGTCTAAAACTAGACGGTACTGTATTCCAGAAGCCAGAGGCTCTGACTGAAAATGCAAACTTTTCAAATTCAGTGGCTCTGTACAGCACTAATCATCAACTCCGATACAGGCTCGTGTTTCTGATACTGTCAGAGAAGAGCAATATAAAACATTTGATAGAGGGGGCACTGGGGTGATTTATGACACTAAAAAGCAAACAGATATCTGTAAATCATATGAAAATGATCAAATGACAGTAGGTTATGCTTGAGGTCATAATCACGGTCTTCTATCGCTTCAGTGACGCTGCGCATATTTCACGGGACTCTTTGAGAAAGGGTGCCCTTAGGTGAAGACACTAAAATGGTAAACTTAGCGAAATATGCATCGTTACATCTTCACCGAACTGATCTCGATTCTCGGTTACTAAGAGTCTGAGATCCCGAAACGAGCTCAGTCTGGGAATGCCTTCCTCGCGGACCTTTCTCCTAAGAAATGACCACTATCGGCTCTGCAGTGTTGTGGTTCCGTAATTAATTAATTGCAATGCATTCATTGTTATTTGTTGCATTACTTTGCAGAATTCATGCAGCGAGCATTGCACGAAGATGAAAGCGGATATCATATCAGCTGCGCTGCAAACAAAATAGTTCGCTTCTTCTTACAGTACATTCAACCCGGCCGATGCACAAATCGGACATATATACGGCTTATCGACCGGAAAGCACAGAGGCCCTAAAGAAATAGACGTCCAGCACTTCACAAACAATGGCATTAGGTCGCCCTTACTGAGTCCAGGTGCTCTCGCTCCGTTTGTTTCGGCCTCTTAAAAACACGGAAGCGAGCGGGCGGTGACGTCAGAGCGGGGCGCTCGGGGTGTTAAAGAGACAGAGGCGCGAGCCGCTCTGGGCCGGAGGCGCCGGACAGTACCAAACCTCAGGACAGGAGACACGGGGATAGGAGAACGAGTCGGCTTCTCCTTCCGGTTTTTCATGCGTCTCTGCTCTACGGTGTCTCTCAGCAGACGTGTCTGTGCTCCAGTGCTCCAGGGACTGCTGTCCAACCCCTGGCCCTGGTGTCTCCTGTTCTCCCTGTCTGACCCCTGACCCTGGTGTCTCCTGTTCTCCCTGTCTGACCCCTGACTCTGGTGTCTCCTGTTCTCCCTGTCTGATCCCTGACCCTGGTGTATCCTCTTCTCCCTGTCAGACCCCTGACTGTGGTGTCTCCTCTTCTCCCCATCTGAAACCCAGACCTGGGTGTCTCCTGTTCTCCCTGTCTGACCCCTGACCTTGGTGTCTCCTCTCCCCTCTGTCTGACTCCTCACCCTGGTGTTTCCTCTCCCCTCTGTCTGACCCCTGACCCCTGACCCTGTTGGTCACAATCTTTCTGTGAGGTTCTAGTGCTAATAAAAGAGAGTAATTGGGTCCCAAATAATCAAGCTTTGACATATAATGGGTATTTAATTTATGTAATTCATTAAATTAGTCTGAAGATTGGCTCAATTATATGATGAATTGTATAATAAAATTCCATATTACTTTGGGTTTCATATTATGACGTGCATGAATTTCAATGCTAATATTTTTTCCCTTAGAGTAATGCACAAGAGAGTAGATTCATCTTTCTCGCCTGAAACCTACAACACAGAGACCCTCTCAGTCTCAGAGAGCGCCTGTCACACCTCTTTTCTCAAAGACATTCCACACTAAAGACAGAAATCCTGGCTTTATACCTGAACAGATACTAAAAGCTTTTTTGTTTGCCTTTACAACAGAGACAATATTGACCAAAAGGCTTAACATGGATTAGTAAAGACACATTGACTGAACACTACAGTACATTAACACTGCACTGAGAGAGA